TGAACTTTTTTGTAAATTTTCTATATTTATCAAAAAAGTTTGAAGAGTTTTGTTGAATTAGGAGATAATAGTATTTCATACATATTATTTCTAGGGCTGTTAAGCGATTAAAAAAATTAAACATGATTAGTTGCACGATTAAAAAAATAGTTGTAATAAATCATGATTTTAATTGCACAGCTAAAAACTCATAATGATGCAAAATTATGCAAGTACTTTGTATGGTTGGGGGTGTGTGTGTGTGTTTGGGGGGGAATTAATAAAGGTGTAGGGGGCTGTGGATATGTGCATGTTGGGTTTGAAGCCAGGCAAGGAGGGGTCCCCACAGGGAAGTTTGGAGCTTGGGGAGGGGAGACCCCCCTGGCAGGATGCAGGGTATTGTAGTTTGGGAGTGAGGGGTAGCAGTAGGGCTGGTGGGGACTGCGGCTTGGGGGTGAGGGGCAGGGCATGGGCATATTACTGCCCTCCCCTCCCCCACAGTCACATGAACCCCTCACAAGTGTCCTCTTTTTTGAAACTGGAAATATGGTACCCCTACAGGAATGCAGCCTAGTGGTGTATAGAGCAGCACCCAGCAGGTAAGTCTGTGGAGGGGAAGAGGAGGGAGGTAGAGAAAGGACGGGTGATAGATTGAGGCTGTCATAGTGAGGGAGGGAGTGGGGCAGGGGCTGGTGTGACTGGGTCCCCGGGCCCTGAGTGGAGAGCAGGACAGAGCTGTGAGTGGCTTACGTAGGGGCATGGGGGAAGGAGAGGTTGGTTCCCCATCACTGTGCACACCCCCAGTGGAGGCATGGGAGGCATGTGCCCCTCACATTTGTGTGCAAGGTGTAGGCGAGCTTCTCACTGTGGGCTGGGGAACTGCGCCCCGCTGCCTTTGCCCCAGGAGCTGTTCACTGACTGTGCACCCCCTGCCTGCCCAGTGGCAGGAGTCACATGGCACTGTGCAGCTCTTTGAGCAAAGGCAGCAGGGCACAGAGCCCCAGCCCTCAATGGACAGCCCACCTCTGACCCATGCACAAATCCAGGGGGCACATGCCTCCCACACCTCTTCTGGGGGTGCATGCACAATAGAGAGCTGTCCCCCCCGCCGGAACTGCTACATGAGCCTCCTGTGGCTCCATCCAACTTCCCACCGCAGCCCCGGGGACCCATTTACCCTGGCCCCTGCCCTGTCCCACTCCCTCCCTCACTGTGAGGGCCTCAATCTACCCCTTCCCTCAACCCCCTGCCCTTCCTCCTCCACATACTCACCTGCTAGGTACTGCTGTACACATCGCCAGGTCATATTCCTGGCCATATGCATGTTGTAGCTGCATGCCTGCATGTAGCGTGCCGACATGGCACCGATATATTGGTGCACCTCTAGTGTGTGTGCCCTCCCCCAGCCTTTCTGCTGCAGCAGCCTGGAGCCTGTTCCCCGGGCTGTTCTGCCACTTCTCTGCACTGCCACCACTGCCCCACTGGGTGGCCTGGAGGCAATGCTGACTGCAGCGAAGAGGAACCTGAGTGTGGGCTCCAAAACCATGTGCACAATTAACATGCTAAAAAAATTAACGTGAATTGGTTCTTGCATTAATTGCACATGTTAATGGTGATTAATTGACAGTCCTAATTATTTCCCAAACACATTTCTCAGTTTCATATGAGCTTCATATAGGATGCAAAAATCCAAAATATATTTTATCTGGTGAGCTCCTTGAGAAAGTATTCTGATTTCTGTGATGTATTATTTTGATCCGATTACTAGCGATTAAACAACAACATCCATATATTCCATATGTGACAGGGTTTTGGTGTTGAAACTGTTTAAAGTATCTATCTCTTCAATCATTTGGGTTAGAGATTTAAAGGTGCTAATCCATCATTTCCTGTGTGCCATTGGCTACAGACACTGATGTGTCTTAACCAAACAAGTCCAATGAGCCATGAGACTTGTGTAGATTTTTTTGTCTTGGGGTTTATTGGGTTTTTTTGATATACCACTATATACACATTAATGGGTTTTTCTCAAAATGTAGTGATTTAAAATTCATTGATCACATTTATAAAGTACTTCATATGTTGCAATGCTCAATAAAAATGTGTTTCATTTGCAATATAACAAAACGTCATTAAGAAAAAATAACGTATCTATATGGAATCTCTGGAAAGATAAGGTCAAATTCCCCACAGGTGTACACTGGAAGAAATGTGGCTGAGCAAATACTATTTTGGAACCCAGCAGGGAATGCTAGCTCATTAAGCCAGACTTAACCCTTAAAATAATGAAGCAAAATGCTTTAATGCTTTAACATTTAATGTAATCTATCTTCTTTCCTACTCTGCCCTTAATTTTTATGATGTTAATATAAAGAACGTGAGGAATCATTTGAATACTCTCAAAATAATTTAAATTTAAAATTTGAAAGAAATCTAATCTCAGCAATACTGATGATTTCAATCATTATTTTAATCCTTTAACATCAAGAACAGAAAACCGCTATTAATTTAACCAAGTATATATGCCTTCAATGTGTGTAAATAATGAATGTGGTATCAGACCCTGAGTTTGTTAATTGTTGGACTTTTAAAATACTAGTCCAAGAAACTAGTCCCATACAAAGTCCAAGAAACTTTATAATTAAAATTAGGAATTGCAGGTCCTAATCCTGGACATATTTATGGCAAGATTAGGAGAGGCATTTTAGGTGCTCTAACAAAAGTGCTCTAGGAAGATGGTTCAGAGACACAGTGGTAAACAGGGCTTATTTTTATAAATAAAAAATGAAGACACTGAACCAGAAGCCCACATTGGTCACCATCCCATGCTGTATGAGGGGGTGGAAGCATTGTGGAGTTTAGACTCCAAATATGTTGCTACTCCCCATGAAGTGTGAAAGAAAGAGCATGCACCAAGCTTCCTATAGCTATAGTATAGCTATAAACAAGACACTTGCAGGATTACCCTTACTTCATAATCTTCAATACATTTCCCTCTGTAGAGCAGTGCAAACAGGTACCAAAACACAGGAGTAAGGAGAAAGTGATATGAACAAGGACTTTAACACTGGGCTGTGGATCGTCACTCTACTGGTTCTTTTCTAGCTGCCACACTGCTGTTTTACCCACAGGAAATACAATTCCTATAATTGGCTTGTAACTTCCTGATTCTCTACAGCAGGGGTTCCCAACCTTTTCCTCAGCATGGCCCCATTTAAATATTGGAAATGTTCTGTGACCAAGGGTCCCTCTAAGGTGCGCACGATTGCGTGGCTGCACACGAGTAAAAGTTTGGCCATGCACAAACTTTTTCAGGCTGTACACCTGCTGGGAATGGAGCTGGGCTGTGGTGTGGGACACTTAGTAAAGGTAAGCTCCTCACCTAGGTGGAGGTGGGGGTTGGTGCAGGCTCCACCGGCTCTGGGGAACTGCTCCGCTCCCCTGCATGGCCTAGGGGAGTGAGGACACACGTGGAGTCAGGACCAGGGAATGTAGCATTTCATGGAACTGGAGGAGCCCGTGGAGCAGTTCCCAGGAGCCGGTGGAGCCTCATTCGGGGCAGGCAAAGGCTTCTCCCCAAGGTGAGGCAAGGCAGGGATGGAGGCTGGGGCAGGGGCTGGCGTGGGCTCTGCTGGCCCCAGGGAACTGCTCCGCCAGCTCCGGGAAGTGCTCCACTCCCCGGCCCTGATGCCATGTGCCTCCTCACTCCCCAAGGTGATGCAGGGGAGCGGAGCAGTTTTGCGGAGCCCCTGCCAGCCTCCAGCTCCCAGTGGAGCCTCACTCAGGGCAGGCAGGCTTCAGGCCCAGGCCCCTGCCCCCCAGGCTCCAGTCCTCCAGCCCCCGCCCCCCAGGCTCCAGCCCCCCAGGCTCATGAGTAAGCCCTCCAGCCGGCGCCAGCCCTCCAGCCCTCACCCCCCAGACTCCAGTCCTCCAGCCCCCCAGGTGCCTGCCCTCACCCCCCAGGCACCAGCCCTCCAGCCCCCACCCCCCAGGCTCCAGCCCTCCGCCACCCAGGCTCTAGACTCTGCTGCCTGGCCTGGTGAAGAGTGAGGAGCTTACCGTTTGTAAGTGTCCCACGCCGCACTGAAAAGGGGAGGCGGAACCAAAGCAGCGCGCTCACAGAATGCCACTCCTTAGAGGGAACATTGTCTGTGACCCCAAAATGATGCATCGTGACCCCAACATGATGTCAACTTCCAGTAATGTACAAGCACCTTGCGTCAGCATTGCAACTGTCATGCATGGACTAATAACTGCCTTGTATGAGAGTTGCATATTTATAAACAGGAAGCATATTCATCATCATCAGTCAATACTGATGAGCAACTTTGCCATTCCATTTTTTATCATTGCAACCTCAATGGGATTGCAACCCCAAGGTTGGGAACTGCTGCTCTACAGGAAAGATGGGAAAGCAGGAGCAACAGCGACAGCAATATATCTTTTTTTCCCCCCAAGATTTTCAGGATGGTGAAATGGAGAGGAGGAAGAAAAACTGCCTAATTCCCTACTCTGCACCCTTTCTCTCTGTGCAGCACAAACTTAAAAATAAATCAAGTAGGAAGAAGTAGAGAGTAGAAATGTAATGATGCAAGTTCATAGCTACCCCCACCCGAGCACACAAAGATTCATACCAGAGAGGTAGTGTCCAATACAGAGTAAAACCCATCTCTTCAAATGCTTATTGGTTTAAGTAACTCTATTTGCATAAGTAGTCCCATGGAAATTACTCATGAGCATTAGTTGTACTTGTATGAGCATCCATGAAAGTACTGATGGGCATTAAGTTATACCTGGGTAAATGTTTGCCAGGATAGGCCTTTAATTGGTTTAAATCTTAAAAAAATATGCACAGCACATTTTTTCCCTTTAAATGGTAACTTAGTAAAGGATGACATTTTGCAACCATGTGTTGAATGTATTTTTTATTTAAACATTGAGAGTAATTACAAAAGCTACTGGAGCAATGAAAGACTTCTAAGGAAAAAGTTGAAAACTCAGATTATACTTTCTCAGTCATTATCAAAGCAAAACACGCTGGCAGCAGCAAGTTGGTTTATAAAACTTTCATATGAACAGTGCAAAGACCTAAATGGCAATATTCGTGCTGAAAAACCTCTCTATCATGAAGCATAACTTTCTTTTTTTGTCATCTATTTTAGTATTGGTTGTTTTTCATTTTTGGGAATAAGAAATAATTAATCCATAATTATGATAATTATTTATTATGTATATCATCTCATATAACATCTTCTCCATGGGAGGATATCCAAATTCCAGTTATTGTACTCTAGTGAAAATGCACATTGCTGTTATTAAAGTTTTATCAGCACAAACATGTTCCTAATCTATTTTTAAAGATATTTTCATGCAATTGATGTCTAATTTTGGAATAACAAATGAGAATTATCAGCAATAAATAAAAATAGCTTATTCTTTCCCCTAGGGGTAAGATTCTGCCACTTTTATTTATACCCCTCAAGCAGTCTCCTTGAAATCCGTGACCTAGATTCTTAAGTGGTGTAAATCAGCGTTGTTCCAGAAAGATTCAGCTTACTATGCCAGTTTCCAGCAGTTGAAAATCTTACCCAGCAGGCTTATTTGTGGAGCAATGTAGTTCTCTGAATGAGGAAGGGTGGACATATGTAGTCTTATTATTATTATTATATTTTTTACATTTACAACCTGTATTATTCATAATATCTGATCCAATGACAATAATGGAGCACTTCTGTAAAATATACATTAAGCCTATGTATGTATGAAGTATGTATATCTGAAGTATAAAACCCACAGATATGCAATACATGTTAACATTTAAAAAATAGAACTTATTTTCTTTGTAAACTATCAATGCAAGATACTGAGCAGCAAAGAAGCCATATTCAATGTCTTCTGTTCTTCTAGAAAGATCTGTTGCTGTAGTAAGTAATGTAACTGTCTCTGAAACATCTGAGTTTACATGTAGAAACAATCAAGGCAATATAATTTGTACATATTATTACACATGCAAAAACTTCCTGAAGAATATTGCCCAAATATAGAAAGTTTTCTGGATCTCAAATTCTCCTTGGTAGCATTTGCTTTATTATGGCTCATGTGGTTTTAGAGTCCTTCAGTTTATTTTGGAGAACCAGCCCCCTTAATAACGGGTTCCCTATTCAAATATGTGGCCCAGTAGACTAAGTTAAAAGTTCCAAACAATACTGGAAAAACAATTCGAGACATTTTGTCAATCTTACTGATGCTGTTGTAAGTCTTTTTGCTTTCAGGAGGCTTTTCTTCTACAGGTTTCACTGGAGCAGAAGCACTGTTTGAGATCACAGATGGAATTGAGTCCTTTGGCATGTCTGGTGTGGGAATCGTCTTTCCAGTGCTAGAGGCATTAATCACTTTGTTTGCATGTAATTCACGTTCTTTCTTCTGTAACATAAATAAGGAAACATGATATAGTGTTTTTACAAATAAAAATATGTTCTCAGGATATTAGACATCATGCTAACAACTATCCTTTTTTGTTCTTATTTCAACTCCCAGCAGAACTCTTATGCATCCGTTACTGTCTTCAATTGACATAAATGAATGCTGAACAAGAACTAGGACTGGAATCCAGATTACCATATAAATTCACAGATTCCTTTATCAATGTGAAGTTTACTTTGGGTGTGCCTAGGTGAACTAAAGGTACTGGGATATCAGTGTTTTGGGAGAGCTGCCATGTTACAAATATGACATCATACACCAAAGGAGGCAATTTGTTATTAAACCATGTGATCCTTTCTACTTTTTCTTTGTACAGTTATCTCATAAGGGATAAAATACAAACTTTCAGTGTGGGATTATTTGGTAAAACTTAGTAGTATTAGGATATTTGAATTTCAATTTGCAATTTACATATATATATTTGAATTTCTGGCCATTGTGCCAGGATCCTGACCCACTGAACTCAATAAGAACTGTGCCATTGACTTCAATGAAAGTAGAAATGGACACTACCTGGCACTAATTTTATGTTATGTCTGCTCACATCCTTAATTTTGGTGATAAAAATCCACTATAATATAGCACAGTCATTTTAAGACTTGTACTCTTTAAAGGGATCTGTTAAATCAGCTTTAGCTTTAGAGGTCATCTAACCATGGTTTGTGCCACTGATACAGCCTATTCCCAATGAAGGCACTCTCTTTTGAGAGGGCATTTTTCAGCTGTTAGGAAAACTGCTTCATCTTGAGTAACTGCTCCTTGGGGTTGTTGTATCTTGAGAATATGATATAAGTGGCCTGAAAAAGTATCTTTGAATAGGGCAACACATTTATCTGGTAACTTCTTATTTCACTAAATTCTCTTTTTATTGACCACTTCTAATTTGGGGGCTAGTTGTCTAGTTTTCGGGAAGGCTTCCCTTAACATTCTAATGGAAGTTTTGGGTTAGGGACAGACTGAGCCTGAGCCTGAATTGATTCAATCTTCACAGGTTAGTCTAACCTAGCTCGGCTGAACTGGGTTGCAACAGCACAGAGATTTCCTCTGGACTGAAGAAATGCAGGCACATGCCTGCAGTGGTTCAGGCTAGAAGGCAGGGGGCACTAGAGCACTGTAGAAGAGAAGGCCCTCCCTTCCCTTCAACAGTGCTGAGCTTAGCGGGGCATATCCAGGCCCTGGCAGGACACTTTGATTAGGGAGGGGTGTAAACCCCCATGCTACCTGAATCGTCCCAGGCTTTTCCCCACTTGCTGCTCAACAGGTGTGAGTGTTGCCAGCCCCCAGCCCCAGGCTAGCACTCTGAGGTGAAGTGGGGGTGTTCAGTGCAGTGCACGCATCTGTTGGTGATACTGAGATTTTCAGTCTCCCTCTCCCTGCTTCTTCATACTATCTGCAAACCTGACAGGAGAGGGAGCCAGCAGGGGGCTAATAACACAGCATTTATCAGTCCATCAACAAAACAAAAGCCTCTCTTCTTAGTTCAAGCTCTTCTTAAACAACTTTTTCCAAGGAAGAAACAGAGGACATTACCAGTTGACCTGTTGATTAGCTCCAAAAAGCCTGAAGTGGACACTGTTCTGTCTTTGTGTCCCAGTGAAATTGGAGACACCGGGAGACACTGGACATACACAGACACCTCCCTGCATTAGTTAGCATACCACATGACTAGGGTCCATGGGGTTGGGGTTCATGCTGTGGGAGATAGGAGGGAGGGAGGGAAGGAAGGAGGGGGGATTCCTGCTTGAGCTGCAAGTGACAAGGGGAGGTGGGGCAAGGGGAAGCAAGGCAGACCCTGCTGTATCTGCAGTCTCCACTGGAGCTCTGGCTAAGGTGTGGAGGGGCTGGGCCAGCCCTATTCCCTGGAGCAGACAGCCCAGCCCAGTCTGGCCCAACTCAGCCCACCCAGGGCTGCAAATCATCTGGGATGCTGGGGGACTCTATTTTAATTTAAACCAGGAAGGGGTCTAGGGCAGACATTACATAAACTGGTTTGACCCAGCTCAATTAAGTCTGATACTACATTCAACCAGATTTATCTTAAACCAGTTTCAGCCATTTTGAATCTGGTTTATGTGCACTAAGCTTATGCTCTGTTACATGTTTAAAGCAGTTGTTGCTCTCTTAAGCCAGTTCATGTGTAATGCCTGTCCCTAGCCTTGGAGAAAGAGAGAGAGAAGTGGTCACTTTCCACACATGGCAAAATTTGTATCTGATTGAACATAAGAAATCAGTATACCCTGTAAATTGTCATCTAAAGATCTGTGACCATTTAATACGTGTTAATTAGAAATCTTTTTCATGGCGAAGGTGCACATTATACATGCAATTATTGGTTTCAAACAGGGTCCCAGGGCTTTTTCTTATGGCTGTCAGAAAGGGTACACCAAGCACCTTGATTTTAGCAGCTTCCAAAGCCTTCTTTCCATCCCATGCCCAACTTCGCTTGGTAAAATAGTTGACTGTTGCAAATTCAATCAGTGCAGAAAACACAAAGGCATAGCACACAGCTATAAACCAGTCCATGGCAGTTGCATAGGCCACTTTTGGCAAGGAGTTGCGGGCACTGATACTTAAGGTGGTCATGGTAAGGACTGTTGTTACTCCTTTAGAAAGGAAAAAAAGAGAAAAGTAAGCTTAGTATTCTTTATAAGCCTTGGGATGATTTGTCATTTAAACCTTGGTCAAAAAAGTACTTGAGCATATCCTTTTTAGAAGTCCCTAGTACGTTCTTGAACAACAGAAACTTCCCCCGAGAGATAGGTTAGAGTATACAAGCCTTTTTAAAAACAAGATTGTGAACAAAGATTAGTTGGGAAAACCAAACTTTTCTGTTTATTTTATTAATTTACTTTGATGTTTATAGCAGTTCTTACTAACACATACACCATAAAATCTATGTACCCTATTTACTTGATTCAAAGACAAGGTTTTTTTCTCCCCCATTCAACATGGGAAAAATCAAGCTTTGTCTTAGAATTGAGTATGAGACCACTCAAGCTGGGAGCTGTGGGGAGCAGCTGTATCTGGCTTGGCTAGGGACAGTGGCAGTGGCATGCAGCTCTTCCTTCCTTGCCCATCTCCCCTTCCCCACTGTTTCTCTTGCTGGCTGAAGCAGGCTGGAAGGAGGAACCTGTGTACTACCACAGCTGTTTCTTGCAGTGTGGGACAGGAGCAGGTCAGGACCAGCTCTGGGGCTTCTCCCATGCCTGTCTCATCTGGAAGTCAGACCACTCCAGCTGGAAGCTGTGGGGGGCAGCTGTGCAAGAAGCCCAGCTTGGCTAGGGACAACAGCAATGGCATGCAGATTCCTCCCTCCCTGCTCAGCTCCCTGCTGTCCATATATGCCAGTTTTAATGCATTTGTCTGCCTAATACTTGTTAGGCTATTTTTGTGTAAATTTCTTAACAAATCCGACATTTTTTTTCTACTGGATTTAAACCAAGACAAAGTGTGAACTTTGTAGAACAACTGAACAGGAAAGAATATCAAAGGAAGTAAAAATAAATTTGGATGTCATTTTACCCTACAGACAGCTAATAAATCAAAATCATTAGCCATAACTCTTGTAGGAAGTCAGAATTTCAATATTTATTTTACAGTCTGAAGAAACTATGAATGAGATAATTATTAGTCATTCATTTTGGACTCCTGTAGGTGCCAGATCCTGATGCACATGATGGCAAACACTCAGGGTGCAGACAGAGGTGACAATTTTTGCCTGATCTGGCCACAGAAATGGTATATAGCCATGACCAAACACAAGTGCATGGCTGCAGACCGCTTAAAAATGGCTGATTGGGCAAAAATCTGAACCCTCATTGCATGAGGTTATAGATAAATACATTTGAAAACATAGTATCTTATGTACCTTGTGTCTGTACTGCCTGCCAGGCTCAAGCTGTTTTCAGAATGGAAGTGGGGAAAAAGGAGCAGACGGGAGTTCAGTCTGGCGGGGTTTCAGACCCCACTGGAGGGTGGGGTGGGGGTATTGGAGTCCCCTGAGGTAGGGGCACTCCAATTCACTCCTGCCCCCTCCCATCCTCCAGCACTGGCTGGAGGATCCCTAGAATGATCTCCTTCTGCTCCCTTCCCTCCCTCCTATTCTGAAAACAGTGTGGGCAGGGAGCTGCACTTCTGTCTGTGCTCTCACCGATTCCACTTGTCAAGAAAAAAACTTAAACTTTTATTCAAGAAACCAAATTATGTCCTCAGTATATCCATATAAACCCTATAGATGCCACTGTATTTACAAAGCTGTTTCTTAGGGAAGAAGTATTTTAATCTCATAGTAGCTGGTCTCTGTAGTGTTCCATTGATTTTTAAGCAAAATTCTCAACAGGTCTCAATAGGGAGTTCTGTATAAAAACCAGAAGCAAGATTTGACTTCCTATTAGTAGGAAATCTGTCCATTATACAAAATTTGCTATTGCAGCCCCTTTCTTTTCCAGCCAGTTGTATTTCATATTTCATCAGTCTTGGGTAAAACATTTACTTACTTCTTAATAGCAATCTTCTGGTGATTATTCAAGTGATTTAGAGTTCCCAGAAGGATTTTTCTTATTATAAATTCTGCAATATGTATACATTTTGTACATGAGTAATTATATTAATTTGTATTTATGGTAATAGGGGTAATTGCCACTAATTAACCTCTTTATGGTTCTTCTAGATTAGCATCATGAAAAACAAACACACCAAAACTTTTGAAGTAAAATCAGTGTTTCAAATGCTGTTCCTAGAGTTTGCATTAAATATTCTGACACTGATGATGATAGTAGATACCATGTTATTTTGTTTTATCTAGCCAATAGTTTAGAGCTTGCTATAGTAGGCACATAAAAAAATAAAACATACAGATTTGATTTCTTCTGCCCCTTTACCTCTTCTGCCCTCATTAAATTCTTGTGTAATCTCCATCAGAACTGAACTAAAGGACTAGACAACTTTTCATGAAGGAACACGTGAATTTGCATTGACACAGAACTAGGGAAAATAAAATGTTACCTGGAACAGGAAAGAGTATTGAGCTATTATTTTCTTGCAGAAAATAAACTATTAGACTGCTACGAACTTTTAATAAACATAACAAAGTTGTAGACTACTCACCAAAGACAGTTCTAGCAGGGACAGACTCTCTGTTTAGCCAAAATGACACTTGTGATAAGATCACAGTCATAATGCATGGAAGGTATGTCTGGATGACAAAATAACCAATCTTTCTTTTCAGGTGAAAATGTGCTGTCATAATAGTATATTCACCTAAGAGCAGAAAACAATCAGTTGTGGGTAGAAATCAGTTTTTATTGAAAAGTAATATATCCTGTGGATGTCTGTGCTCAGGTCTGGAAATTTCACCTCCTGCTTAGGGAAACCATTCATCTTTTCATTTTTGAGCAGTCTTGGTCCATTGTGCCACAGAATACCAACATCAGGAACATAGATGCAGTTGGATCCTGCTGATCTTTACACCTAATTTCCGGGTCACCATTGCCTAGATGCAGAACACAATCAAACACTCCTACTGCACCAAGTTATTCTGGACCTCTGGTCCATGGCACTGCACCTGTCTAGATTTAGGGCCAGGAACCTGTCAGTTCCAACAATGTAATGCCTCCACAATGTAATGCCAAAAAAAGAAACCATACCTCCAGAAAAATGTGAGTAGTTTTGTGACACCACTACCATAAGAACCTGTACTAGGCACCTGAATCAAGGCAATTTTGGGCTCTGGAAAAACTAATTCCTCTATCTACTTAGAGGACATTGTTGTCTTTTCTGCTCCCCCAGAAAGATCCAAATCTTGGGTTATCCTGATGCCCACATAATTTACAATTAGCCATCATACATTTGGAGACTTCTGGATCAGGCTAATAGTTACTACAAGCTTATATGTTATCCTCTAAGTCAGGAGTTCCCACAGTGTGGCCTGTGATGCATTTGTACACCACTCAAAAAGGGACTTTTAAGTATAGCCGTCTTCAGCAGAACTAGCTGAGTGTATAGCCATTGCCTCTTCAAAAGTAATTTAGTTAAACAATGATGCAGGATTCTCCTTATTGTAACTTTATTTATGCAAGACATATTATGTTACATCTATTGAATAGAAAGGTATTGCAAAGTGGATTAATTTTGTTATGTGGCCCTCAGCATGATGTCCCACTCATTAAGTGGCCCGCCATAAACAGAACTTTGATAATGCCTGCTTTAACTAGAGAGCAATATATAACTCTTATATTGCTTGGAACACCTGAGTTTTGATATGTACTGGAATGATAGCGTGGCAAAAATATACATTTGACACCCAAATTCTGCCAGATCCTGGCACCTTTTGGCCACATACTCTATATTCCATCTTGCCATATTTTATCTAACAAATTGTCTTCCATTGCAGGGATGAGGAATTGTTAAGGCACTAAGTCTTCTCATTCTCTTTTCTTTTGGGACATTTTCGTTTTTGAAGCTGGGGAGGGGGTGCACAAAAGATGCAAAGTTTGTCAACGGGATGCAAGGGGGAATCTCTGTGGTATGTAGTGTGTGTGCCAGGGTACAAATGTTCATTCATATGTACCCCTTTGTATTTACTATCTATTAAATGGCAGTCTGCTATTGCAGAGGATAATATATGATGAAATGGGCATCCACTTCCACTCTTACTGTTCCTGTATCCTATGCTGTATTTTCTGAAGAGACAAATACTTTATAGACCTTTACTGCTTGACCTAAAAGGCTAACTACAATTCCTAGTAACAGAAACTGATTATTATCCTCTTTAGGCCTGTCATTAAAGGAGGAGACATATTAGACTGAAACAATTTGGCAGGCAGCATAGATTGTTTCTAAAAGAGAGTGAACTTGATTAGTTAGGGGAAGGACTATACATCAGGAGAGTTTTGCTTGTGTAGATACGTGGAGATAGAGTGCTACACCTATATAGCACTGGTAGTGTGCATACAATTTATATCAGCAAAACTACACTTCTGCCAACCTAGCTTAGCCCAGCTCCTATAAGCAAAATAAATTACATTGGTAAAACCATAATTTTAGAGGTATAACTGTGCTTTCATTTCAGGATCTGACAGAACACCTAGGTCAGCCAAAGCTCTTCACTCTCATGAGTAATATAGCTGTACTCTTAACAATTTGTAATACAGGACTAGTCTATGCCTTGCATCTGACATGTAAGTATTCTGGATTCTGTCTTCAGCTTGTGAAACCTCTCAGTAATGGATGAGACTGTGGGCCACTTTGAGGCAGATATGATCATTCCACCTGCATACCAGTGCTGTTCCTACCCAGTGATAGCGAAACATCAAAGGGAAACTCTGAGATGTAAGGTGTATCCCCTTACCTTACCTATGACTAGTCCTATGAAGGTGTGGGGAGGTTGTGATGGGGAAAGTCAGCAAAGACTTGAGGAAAGGAGCAACGTGAAAACTGCCAAACACCTTCAGTCTAGAAAGACTGCCTTGCCTTGTAGGCACAGAGAGAGTGGTGCCTTTTAAAATACCTGTCTGACTTTTATGAATATTTTCTTCAATCAGCTGCTCCCAGAATGCTGTCTAGAGCTCTCAGAAGGCCCCTTTAAGACTATTTCAATATCTCTACATAAATGTATTCCTTAAAACCACCCAAAATTAAATGTGGAGCTGAATGTAGTTGCCTTCTTTGGTGAGCAGAGCACCTATTACTCTGCCAGGACCTGCTCTGGCTGTGAGTTTCAAGATGAAGTTTAAGGGCTTGAATTTGATTTAGAAATTCCTAAACAGTTTAGCACTTACCTAGTGTAGAGACTGCCTCAGCCTTTGTTCTGGGGGAAGAACCTTCTTCTGGCTTGTCACTTTCTTGTGAAAAGGATTGCTGAAGAGGTATGGGGAGAGGGAGAAGGTCTGGTGTGAAATTGGGTAGTTTATCCCTACTGGATAATCTCCAATACACATTGATTGGTAGTAATCCCACACCAGACATCATGGCCCTTTTTGTGCTCTAGACAGGACTGCACTTGCTCTCTGTTTAGCAGGATTAATCTGTGGATTGGTGCCAAAAATATGCTGGATCAAGCAGAGTCCACATACAAGATATATTTTTCAAGATGCAACTGCACAGTGGTATGTTGAAGCCTGTATTTTGCCACTCAATTAGGTGTGGCAGCATAGGATGTCTAATTTGATGGCACAGTTCAAGGGGTGGAGTCAAAAACAGATAGAAATCAGCAGATAATAGATGTTGCTATGTTATGATAAAAGGACAATTGAAGGTTGGCCTTTTTTTTAAAAACCTACAAACATAAAGACCTAGTCCTCACATTTAAAACCCTTTGTGGCCAATTCCTGCCACAATTTGCTATACAGAATCAAGACGCTAACCCCTCCACTAGTGATGCCAACCTTGAGCATCTGATCATTTTCCAACAAGCACCTTTGCACTGTCTCCTGTTCTGCCCTTATATTGGGAAGAAGCTGGCTTATAAAATCAGCATTTTTTCTCCTGCAGTTATGATGCCTAGGAAAAAATCAGCAATAATTGGGCACCTAGTGCTTTGGCCACAGCTCATCATGAGGACCCAGGTGTCAAATCTATTTTTGAGGCACTGCTGCACAAGACTATAGGAACTGGCAGGATAAGTGCCCTGGATCTGTTTTTGTGTGCTCATGTGCCAAGAGCAGTTGTGCATGGAGAAGATGGACATTTCTGTATCTAGAAAATGGAATTAGGATGACTGGGTGTAAAAACTGGCAGGTTCATGTGTTTTTGTGGTGCTGTGATGCTCTACAGAAGTCCAGCATTTTGTAGTGCAATAGGAGAATCCAATCATGTTCTCTAGTCAAGTTACTGAATTTGGGGACTTGAATGCAGAATCAGCAGGATCTGGCAGAATCTGTGTCTTGGGCCTGGGTTTTTGCAATATTTCAATTGCAGAATGTGCTGGGGATTGGGATATTTTAGTGAACTAAGCACAGTTTGCCATATTTTGTAGTCCAGAGGTAGAATTTAGTGGGGCAAAAAGTGGGCTCTATCTCCTGTTCTAGGTATCTGAGAAGAATTCATGCCTTGCCTCCATCACTTTTTAGCCCTGGGGTGTAAGAAGTGAGGGTTGTTTGGTGAAGTGTAAGTAGCTGCATGTGTCTGCATTTAGGATGTGGAATTTGGAATCTTGGGTTCAGATATTTGCAGGTGCAGCAGACCTTGGTTTTTGCAGCATCATTAAACCAAATCATCCAGGGTTTGGGGATGTTTCAGTGCAGTAAGCGTGGAGTGACTATATGTGATTGTCACAAAGAATTTAATGGATTGTTTACAAAAGAATCAACTGAATCCATGTCCCAGATCTGAGCTTTTTGCATTACTTCAAGACATATCAGTTTTTAGAAATGCTTGAAGCAATACAAATAATTAAATATCTTTTCTATTTGGCACTGAAACATGGGAGCTTGGGGGCAAAAATCAGTTGGATCTACCTGGATCTATGTGTTGGTTCAATGTGGCACCAATAAAGTATTACAGTTTCCAGGGTTGGTGGGTCCAAGAGTATGACTCAGGTGCAAAAATCTGCAGAATCCAGCCAGATTGGTTTACAACCAGCCTTCATTGCTGTTTCAAAAGCCTGTCTTTGAATCAATAGCAATAAAGACATTGTGGTGTGTGAAATTTGGGTCTAAACAAACACTTCCTTGTGGAGCTACAGGGGTTGTGAGTTTCCCATGTGTCTCCAAAAATATAGAAGAGATCGTAACAGTTGGATTGTGCAGTAGTGATTTGTTTTTCATTTCCACAATCACCAGTTCTGTTAGAAGGAAGAAATGCCTTAAGCATCCAGTCATAAGTAACCCTGATTACTGGCCTACTGCGAGCTTGATGAAGTCCAGAAAATCCATTGCTGACTGATGCTTTCCCTGTGTAAAATCGGATTTTTGTATTTTGTTAATCCCTGGTTACAATCTGTGTCCTGCTCTGATCTACCCTGCAATCAGAAAACAGCCAGCCCAGCTGTAACACAGGACAACATTAATATACAATTTTGAAATTGGAAAGCAGTCATGTATTAGCCTAACTTTTAGAAAATAGGAGAGAGGTGGCTACCGGGCACAAACTTTTGGATTCCTATAATGAGTCTGCTGTTTTGGTGGGTTAAAGAGTTACAAGGCATCTTCACAAACAAAGCTGAGCGGGACAAGTGACCTGGAGCTGACATTCTTGGAGTGCTTGCTACCTGTTTTGGATTGTTTCCTTGATCCAAGGAGGAGGATACATTTCTAGGACATGTCCCAGTGCCTCCTCTGGACCTTTTGCCTGGCAATACTGAAAGTAAAAGGAGAGCTACCATTCATTGCAGAAAACAATGCAGCTATGTTGGTGAACTGGTAAGAAACCAAATGTTTTTGTTCTTTAATGTGAGACAGTTCACTTTCCTCCTTGAGACTCGTTGCTGTGATGGAAGTTACTGTCATTCTTTCTATATGGACATCCTTACATCTGATTGATTTTTTGTTTTGTCTAGTAGCTGTTTGATGGATATTAAAAGTGAGGGTAGAGCTTGCTAGAGGAAAGGATGGAAACCTTGTTTAGTAGCTGCCCTGTACTGTACAAAGTTGCCCTTGCTTTGTGATTCTTGAAGAATTAGCAGCAAATGCAGGTGAGCTCTGAGTAGGTCCCATCTATAGTATGTCTATTTGATTGGTTGATTTTGAAAGGAAAGCATTTAACACCTGCCTTTCTTGATCCTAACAACCTGTATTTGCATGTATGTGTGTGTGTGTGCACGTGCGTGTGTGCGTGCGTGCGTGTGTGTGTTTGTGTATGCATGTGTGTGTACATGTATGCTTAAAGCCTCTTTTTCCTGAGTCTCTCTTGACGATAGTTGCCAATCTGGTATATTCTCCTCCTGATCCTGAATTAAGTCTCAGAGCATGCAATTTTCAGCTAGTGACAAGAAGGGTCTGTGTCTCCAGTGATTACCTCTTGGTGATTTGCTATTTTTTACATAGAGTATTGTTCAAATGTGTTCTATAAAAGCTCACTGTAAATGAAGGAAGCATGGAAAACTGTTGTTTAAAGGCAGGATATTTTGTTTCCAATCACGGGAGACTTTACTCTCCATTCTATTAATACTCTGAAGACATGTGTATTATATAACCTGTTAAAGCCTGTGTATTGCAGAAACCATGTGACTCGCAGGTCCAGTCTGGCTTCATCCCTCTCCCCTCAAGCCTCACAGTAGTCTCACCAATCACAGCCCTCAGCTACTCTGATATGGAAGCCTTATGAAGGAGGGGGAGGGGCTCACGTGGGTTGCTGGCTGGCATTAAAGCTTCTTTGTCTCCCAAGTGCTGCCACATCTGGCACTTCCATTTCCAGTTACAGAGGAAATGGGACTCCTTGGAGTTAGCACATCCCCTCTCCTGGACATGCAGCAACAAAACAGCTGCCATCCTCCTCCTCCTTCTGCCCCCAAATGGGTTTGTCTAACAAATCATTTTAAAGCTAGGATTGAGATAGAATAAATGGGGTTGTTCTTTTAGTAAGGGGATAAGCCAACAATAGTGCTTGCAGCTTCAAAAAATGTAGTTGCTGAAGATCTACAGACAATTCCCAAATCTCCCTGGCAAGCAGCCAGGAGATTTACAGTCATTTTCCCAACACCCCCACCCAGCAGCTAGGAGCTTCTCTTTCTGGCATGTCCCCAGTACAGCTGCTTTTCCTGTTAGTATTTATGTGGTAGAAAGTTGCATTCTTCCACACCTGTACTGGTACTGATGTTTTCTGTTCCTACAGTTTGTCCGATCAGATGATACTGGTTGAGTCGTGAACCGTCTTCTGCCACCACCACAGATGTAGTAGTACTATTAGTCCAGACATAGATCACTTCAGAATTGGGATAAGCATCTAGTAATAAGGGGAAAAAAGGGACATATTAAACAGAGCATAATTTTCTAGTGCATTGGGGAGCCAATCTTTTTGGCAGGCATGCCACAAAATTAGCCCTGCACCATCCCTGAGTGCCGTTCTGAACCCCTTCCTCTGCCCAATCTGCTACTCTGCTTTCTTCCCCCTGCCCTGTGCTCCCTGCCTGATCTGCTGCTCTGTTTTTTTATTTTCTCCTTTTTTTCCTTACCCAATCTGCTGATCTACTTTCTGCTTCCATGCCCCTGTGCTGCTTGCCCACTCCTCTGTCTGCCATGTGCCATATATAGAGGTTGCCTGTACCACTTGTGGCAACTTGCCGCAGGTTGGCTACCCCTGTTCTAGCGTACAGATTTTTAGGAGTGGGGCAGGGAAAGAGGAGTGACAGTGAGTGGGTGAAAACAAAAAGATGATATGACAGTGTTCCCATATGTCCAGCTCAAAAAGTATTAGGTGGCAGCCCTGTGATATAACAGATGCGTGGGATGGCACTATAAATAGAATCCTTCAGGGCCATTTAATTTGGGAGAGGTTTTGACTTGAAGAGCTTGCTGTACTCAACTAGTCTGCAATTCATGGAGGTAGACAGAAAAGCACTTCTGTGTTGTAATGGCTCTTTCTAGCACCTCCACATTTGGAGTCGCTTGGGCATACTCAGTGCCTAGAAATCTATGGAATGTCTGCGTCTCAACACATTTTCAAAATAAAATATAGGTATGGGCCAGTATGTTTCAGGGAAAGTTAATGTGGATGTGAGGGGGCTAGTGTATGTGCATGAGGGAGAGAAAGAAAGAGTAAGAAGGGATTTCTCTCCACTTAATAATCTTTATTTGGAAGTTGGAGGAATGTAGTTATGAAATCAGTGTCAGTGTTGTCAATTCATATGATTTTATTATGAGTCTTACTTCACAATAATGCTTTTTTTAAAGCCCCATGACCTGGAGTAATGTTATTATAGGAAAATTTCAGCTTTCATTAAAAAAAAAGAACAGAAAAAATAACAACCCTTATGGCTACAAGAAAAATCTTAAAACTTAGAACAGTAAGACCTTAAGAAACAGAAGGAAATAAAAAAGTGCCAACATTTATTATTAAAAATGTTACTTTTTAAAGCCGTTTTCCTCATGCCTAGAGTATCTGGCTCATAATCTTTGAATGTTTTCAAACAGGATTATTGCAGTGAAGTTGCAAGGACTCATTTTTACCAAAACCTCTAAGAAACTGGAAATGAAACCATCAACTTGTAAAAGTTATTCTTCCCCCAGAAAGATAGTGGCTACTGTCATAAGACCTGAGGGAGGCGTACTTGCAGATATAAAACAGCTCAACTTGGTTCCTCACAGCAGATCAGCAGAAATTTCATGTAAAAGATTTTTTTCTATCCTTAAATATACAGAGAATTTATTGAACCTAAAAATATAGGAAGAGTTGAGGCAGATAGATATGGGATCTATGTGGAGCAGCAAAGAGGGAACTATAACATGCAGTCGATATTCCAGGCCCAGGAGAGCTCTTTGTTACAATACTGCCATGCAACTGAATAAATGCTTCATCTACAAAAGTCATTCCCTCTAGAAATACTACTAATTTATCTCTGTTTATGGATGAGTTATCTCTGGGGCACAGAATAACACACATGAAGATCAATATTGTTCAATCTACTGCACACAGATATCAAAAGAAAAATAAATTGGACATTGCACTTAATATAAGTTAATTGGCAAGTGTGTCCACTTCCTTTTTGGCTATAACATGGCCATATGTATTTTACTGCTACAAGACTTGCATTGGAAATTACCCTTTGCTGTAAGAATTGTGCACCAATTGTCTAATATATCAGTACAAAATATCAGTCTCTCTACATTACAGTTGTGAAGAAAAACTCAAGAACGTGAACTCGAATATAAATTGGAGTGACTACCTGAGTCTAGAAAGTCTGAAGAATAGCTCTGAGAGGTATAAGCTGCCTTGTGTACTTTAGCAGGGTGTCGACAGTGTTGATTATATCATTTCTAGTCTTTTAGAAGAAACATCCAGCTATTATATGCTAATCCCACAATCTTAGACTGTCTGACACTCCTCCGCAGGTGCCAAAAACTCCAATTACTCTCTACCTAACTGCCAAAACCTCCAGCTTTGTCTCTGAGAACTTATGAAACATAATTACGCATTGTCATATTGAAAACTGAAAGTGTAGGAGTAGTCTAGAATAAAATAAATGCACTATCAAGAAAAGGCAGATCCTGATTGTGTTATTCATTATCATATTGAATTGAATAAAATCTGTTTTTCTAGTTATATAATGCTTCCACATTTTACCTCACTGTAGTATTAGGCAGTCAGCAGCAATTCTTACCTGTTGCTCTCTGGCAGAAGCTACAATCATCTAGGCACTGAATGTCTGGACTTGGTCTGGCTTTTGGATTCTGCCTCAATTGTCTAAAAGGGGGATAGTAGGTCATGGGCAGCCTCCACTCCTCTATGCTCTTGTCTAGGCGATGCATCCAAGGTCTTGGTGACTAAACCTATTATGCATACACCATGATCTAAAGGATTGACGGTTGCCTACTAATGCATGCCAGTGTATCAAAGAACTTACGCCCACATCATGAATGGTTAAGAGAACTTTTCTATTTGAAAAGTACAAGAAATGCTAGATTTTAATTTCTCATTCTTCTCTGCACAAGTGCCTATCAGGTACATAGGGTAGTTTTCAGCAGAACATAACTGGTGATAAAATGAAGTAAAAGAGTCAAGGCCAATAAGCTACTGGCCTCATAGGCTACTCAAAACATATCCCAATTTAGGAAAAACATATTTTTTTCATTCTCCCAGGCAAAGAAATCAGCTTCATTTGATATTCTTTATAACAATATTTCTGAAATCCTAAAGGAGAAAAACCTGTTAAATACTCCTCCCTATTTTCAGTTTTTTCCATCAAAAAACAGGAAAACATAGAAGAATCTATAAAAAAATAAAGAAGTGTATGAAACTATTATAACCGTAAAAAAGTTTGTCAACTAATAGTTGCTTCCCACAAGCATTTCCTACCTGGTAGAATGCTTATCACCTACCAAAGCAATGAAAAGAAGTACTTTCTTTTGGTGTCTCTTGGTCAATGATCCATACTACAGTTTTCTGCATCCTAAAATGTAACAAGCTCACCACAAATGTAAAACATCCTCTATTTCTTCCCATTAATGTGGATGTTAAGATTCTTATAAAAGGTCACCAGTTCTTCTCTACTTCCTTGAATGGAAAGGAGCAACAAGCATAGAGGATTGTCAGAAAAAGGGTTGTTTTTAGAAAACAGGAGACTGTATTTATGACAAGCAAAATGACACCCTAGAAAGGGTTAACTGATCTATTTTCGCATGGCTGGGCAGGATATATAAGGAACAGAAAGTGGAGCCCTGGAGCTAAAAGTGTGTTCTGTTTTCCCTTGGTTAAGGGAGGTAAGGGAAAAGCCTTTGAGACAGTAGCCAGCGTTGGGTTACTGAGATGCTTTTTTATGCTATTTATGGTTTAATTGTATCCTGAGGCAAAGGCCTTTAAAGGACATGGGTGTAGCTGTGCTCCTCTTCTCAGGCTGGTAAAACAGCCACTCGGTATTTGGTTCTAGCTCCACAGCATACTCCTTTCAACCAATTTGCAGGTGTTCTATCAGAAATGGTATTATCATCTTGTCATGGCATTGTCTCTCCATTCTCAACAGTGCTGTTGAGCATTGTTCAATGTATGTAATGTATGTAGTGTTCAATTTATGTAATGTATGTAATACGTGCCCAGTATTAGCTAAGCACGTTTTCCTCCCACCAAATTCTGAACTCCATCTTGAAAGAATATTGATGGGAAGTTGCTAGCTGCACGGGAGCATGATTCTTGCCAGCATCATAATGTTACCTTAAGAGGGCACTTGAATCTGGAAAGCCTCAAGTACAATGTTGCATCACATTGGCCTTATGCCTACTTGGGTCAACTCCTTCCATCTTTTTATTTGTAATATTTTTGCAGCAAGAACAACAACAAGGAATTGAAAAACCCTGAAGTCAAGACTGAGTTTCTGGGCCTCTATGCAAAAACACAGATGGGGATAATTTATGTTCTAACCCACGAGTCAGTGGGAGTTGGGTGTGAGAATTATTTCTGGCATCTGACCTTAATTTAGCACTCAACTAAACATAATAATAAATATCGCATGTCTGTTTCATGCCCAGTCTGTATGGTTACATGCCCAGGTGAGACAACAGAAAACAATTCAAGAAGAATTTTATAAGCTTACAGAAAACATAATATCTAGCCACATTTATAGATCCTGTCAATACGTAACGTGAGGTGCTTATGATAATGGACAAGTTACAAACAAGCCATAGTTAAAATACTTTGAAAAAAGTAAACTAGTAACAAGCAGTACTGAAAAACTAGTTTGGCTTATCTTGTTTGCTCATTGTATCTCTCTAGCTACATTCCCAGACACTGCTTATTGTCATGATACTGAGTCCATGAAATTGGCTGTCCCTGACATGGTACAATCAGGTATCTCGGCTAATCTTGTTGCTGTTACTTATTCCTATTAAGGGTAATCTAAAGTACAGATCCAGGGCTGTTGATTGGATGTACATAAATTATCTGTTTACTCAGATGCTTTAAAGATAAAGAATTTTACTTTGTTATTTTATCTAAATTGTTGGTATTCTAAGATCATCTCTTTCTGGTAAAGTTTTAGAGTATAAAAGTATTTATTCTTATTGAACTGAGTTTCATTTGCCTTAAAAACATGGAATGTGAATGGTAAAAAAACCAATTCTGGACCCAAGCCCCTAAAAGTTATGAATTATAGTGTCTAAGTTCTTCATTGGTCCTAGCCTGTAGTTAATAGTTCTGCTAAAAACAGTTAAATCAGAACACAATGCAGATCACACTGCATTACCAGGTAAAAGAAGAGAAAATGTAATCAAAATACAGCTTTTTATATAAACTAA